ATATATATATATATATATATATATATATATATATATATATATATACTTGGGAATAAAATGGAACTGAGAAAATCATATCAAAGATTACTAGAAACAATTTCATGAGATGGAAAATCGGATACATCACGATCACATATTTGTTCGTCCGATCTTTGATCATCGAGATTACTCGTGATACGGTGTGGGGTGGGCAGCTTTAGCGCTTGCATTAATTGTTTTTGGGTACAAAATGGAGGGTTGTACCGACGTATGCACACCGCTTCTGTTGTAGAAAGCATCCGACAGTGAACCTGCTTCTATAATCAACAACCAATCTCAATTCATAGCGACCGTTTGACGCACGCTATTCATGCTTTCGAGGCGATATGTCCGAGTTGGATTGAGATCTTCCGTTTTTTGAAGCACATTTTTGTGATGAACAATAGAAAGAGCAAGCCCGATGCTCATGAGCATCTACTGCATATTCATGATAACCGAGAACCAAAGCATTGGACCTCCCTCACACACACACACACACACGCTGAAATAAGCATTGTATTGAACCACACAACAGTGAAGCTGCTAACGTACACCAAGGATAGCAGCTCAAACCGCGAGACCATCGCCATGATCATCGAAAAAAGCTCTATACGGCTACTCACCAAAAAATAGGTACCAGTGACAAATCTGTTTAATGATTGAAATTCTCTAATTCGGTCATAAAATGTTTAATTAGTTACCCGGTTAAGTCTGATGAGCAGTACAGAGGATGCACGACAGACAATGACCGGTACCTCGTACTCGTTCATTCTCCCAAATATACACAAGAGAAAAGATTTCAAGTTCTGACACCGCTGTTGAGAAAAAATACGCAGCAACATCAAGAACTTGGAAAAGTCAAGAAACGTTTCAAAACGTTTCAAACGTTTCAATCTAGAATACTTACACGTTCTGGTCCAAACTTTTGCAAGTATGGGTGACAAGTGATGATACTCTCTTCAACCACTTGACGCCAGGAGAACAAATCGTGCCAGAATCCTAAATCATCACCAATTGACGGAGGGCGACTCCTATAACAATCGTGAGAGGATGAAAATAGGATTGGGGAGAGGTAGTGGAAAAGATGAGTACGAACAAATTCATTTTATTTCATTCGACAAGCATTACTCCTAAATTGGACAAGAAAAGATGAGCTCAAACGTAATATAGCGAAGGATTTCAACTGCATGAAGTCATAAGTTTTAATTATCACGGTGACAACGAAAAGTCCTAAACCCCACAATCCTGAGAACATACAATGAAAATGAACGTAGGCCCTAGCATGGATTGCTATGCGTGGAGTGGTCAAGTCAAGTCAAGGGTGCACTTTATTCATCCAATGTGAACGGAATTTTCAGTGAAAAGGTTACCGCTTTTGCTTTGGCATTGCACGCTATTAAAAAGGAGCTTTAAGATATGGCAAATAGTTACTGAGATGATAATAAATCGGACACCGAGAACGCACAAAAAATAAGGAAAATGTCATCGTGGAAATTTACATTAGACTGTGTACAAGTTTGTTTGATATTCGCTCCCTAGAAACCAACAAACGGGAAAGGTAAGGTACAACGGAGTTGTGAAAAGCAGTGGTACGAGGATATAAAGGATTAAATTTATTGCGGGTTAGAGAAGTTGAAATGGAGCTAGATAGAGCTGCGTGTAAGAGATGTGAGGCATCGGACAAGATGGAGTCACATAGACGGTCACACGCATTCAGAAGTTGGTTGACAATCGAATCAACCAGCTCCTCATAAGATACAGCTCCATATCTAGAGATGCTTTTTAGAGAGCGTCTAATTAATGTGAAATCTTTAGACAGTAGACCGGGAAAGATAACGGGAGAGCAGTAATTCCAATTGCATAAAACGCATGAGAAAATAAATTTGGAGATGATGTACAATGGCACCCTCAGATACCGAAGGCGTGGAATATAAGAGGTCAACTTTCCGACTTTAAGAAATGTTTGTTCTACGTGACAGGACCGTTTGAAGTCAGCAGACACGAAATATCCAAGATATTTGAAGTGTTTCGACCTTTCAACTTTTAAGTTATTGATAAGGATATTGGGAACAGATGATGCAGAAAGAGTTGATGGTCCAAGGTCGATGGAAAACAAAATTCAATGTATTTACTGGGGCTTAAAGAAAAGTTAACACTATCGGACCATTCAGAAAGGAAACCTACAACTGATTGAAGGGGGTTAGTTGAAGGGTTGTTGTTGTGAGAAGCAGCACCAACTACTATGTCATCGCCATATTTAAAATTGAAAACATTGGGGATGACTGGCAAATTTCGGATATAACAGGATAACAGAAAAGGGGATAAAATTGTTCCCCGCACCACATCCTGGTTTACAGTAACAGTAGAAGAACTAATACCATTGAGACAAGTGAATTGGCGTCGGTCGTTAAAATAGTCGTGCGTCCAATTCAAAAGATGTGGTGGGAGATTATGTCGCTGTAACAGTGTCCATAGGATGTTTCTGTCGACAGAGTTAAATGCGTTTTTGTGGTCCAAGAAAAAAACGTGAACGATTTTGTTTTTGGTTCATAGTGGATAAAATAGAATGTATAAGACGAGCAACCGCATCTAAAGTAAAGCGACGCTTAAAATATGCAAACTGATTGGAATCACAAAAATCAAGATCAGAGGATAGGTGCTTAATAATAATACGCTCAAAAGTCTTACGTAGTACTAAAGATCAGACAACAGGCCGAAATTTACCCTTTTCTTTCTTAGGTACTGGAGTGATGCAAACATCACGCCATGAGTTAACTAGTCTTCCTTCTGACAGACATGTAATAAAGATAAATGAAACGGTGTATGCGAGGTGGTTCGCACATGTTTTAGCGCCACTGGGGATAACCCATCAGGACCAGCGGGTTTATTTCCATTGACAGCATTTAACTCCTTTAAAACTTGCTGTATTGTGACAGACACAGGAAGGTGGAAACAAGTGACGTGTTTGGACTCGGTAAAGCTGGCACAACCTTTTTCCCGGAAGCAAAAAAATTGTTAAGCTCATTGATATCACATGAGACTGTAGTAGGTAAAGTTGAACGATCACAGAGTAACTTCAGTCCGTTCCAAAGCTGACGGCAGGATTTGTCTCCTAGCACGGTGTCAGTATACAATTGATTGAGATGTGCTATCTCGCTTCTGATGTGAAAGTTGACAAATTTGACCGTCAATTTCTCTCTCGAGCGATACGCCCTTTCTTTCAGCCTTCGTAACCATTTCAGTCTATCGGAAGTGTCTCTTTTCCTGGGGGCAGCACACGTAATAACAATAAATCAGGAAGGTAGATAACTCAGGAGAAGTACAGTCAGGAGTGACGTAGAGGTTTGAAAAAATGATCGAAGAGTGACGCAGGAGAAAGTGGTTTACATTCTACAGAAATACAAGAAATGTTTTGTGTACAGTGATTAAATATGCATTTGGTGGAGTTATACCACGACTGGTGCACATACATGATGACGCCTCTTCCTTTAGTTTTCCTTCTTGGAGGTCTATCTGCTCGAAATTAATGGAAGCCTTCGATCTGAACCAATTCGTCCTCGACGGATTCTTGGAGAAGTAGCACAACTTTTAGAGTACCCACCGCGGTGAATCAGAAGATCGATGTCCGATAGCTTAGAAAGAACTGAGCAGACATTCGACGACAAAATGACCGGAAAACCAATGCTCTTCAGGTTTCGGAGCTCAAGTACAACGTTTTAGCCAGCGCGATGTTTTTTCCGTTTGGCACGTGAATTTCTCACAAAACGAGAAAAAGCACTTAAGGACGTGTCAGGAGAAGCCTAACCTTCTCTTGAGAACTCACACTGTATGAATCAGAACCGGATTGGGATCAGTCTCGACCGTGTGAACGTATCAGCATTTTCTCGATCGTACTGGATACGTGGGCGTCGGAGTAAAAGTACAAAGCACAGTGACCTAATTTCTAGCACAGTCCTCCATCGCCACCCACGTAATCCCCATTCCGGACAAGTATCTAAACAGTGAGCAACCACATAAATACCACATACTTTATTCCTTACTTGACCAGGATTACGATCACGACCACATTTGGGCTGGTGATACCAATAAAGGCTCGCACTGCTTTTTTCCAACTGTCTGTTTGCTGGAATCGTTGGGATACGCATCGTCAGGTCAGGTTCAGTGACAGTTCGGCAAGATATAACAGGACAGTTAGTTGATAAACATGTAACATGTATGCCACTGCAGTAGAA